TCTGCAATGACGGTTGAAAAACCCATTACCGAACAAGAAAAGGCAAAAGTCTTAGTGTTACTAAGGCATCATTTACATGAAGGCCTTAAACTGAGTACATGATGGTTGAAGATCCCAAAGAATTATGGGATTGCCTTAATGAAAGATTTGGACACCACAAAAGGGTGCTCCTTCCTAAGGCATTATTTGACTGGACAAATTTACGGTTCCAGGATTTCAAATCTGTAATAGATTACAATTCAACCATACATGAGATAGTATCTATATTGAGATACTGTGATCATCCAGTCACCGATGAACAAATGATTGAAAAAACACTCACTACCTTTCATGCAAGCAACATACTGTTGCAAGAACAATATCGTGAAAGAGGTTTTAAGAAGTTTAATGAATTAATGAGTGTATTGCTTGTTGCGGAACAAAATAGCGATCTTTTTTGAAAAATCATAATCTCAGACCAACTGGGTCTTTGGCCACTCATCATGAGGCAAATGCAACAAATTCCTATCCACCCGAGTCAAATGCTACAAGAAGAGGTGGACGTGGAAATTACAATGGCCGTGGAAGAGGTCGTGGAAATTATCGCGGACGCGGCCGTGGTCGTGTAGAAATAATTTTCAAAGAAACAGTAATTTCAAAAATTTTGAAAAACAGAAGGGACAGTTATCTGGAAGCCACAAACAAACTCCTTCGAAAGGAAAAGACACATGTTACAGATGTGGCATGACAGGACATTGGGGACGTACTTGTCGAACGGCCAAACATTTGGTAGACCTTTACCAGGCTTCTGTAAAAGGCAAAGAGAAAAATGCAGAAGCAAATTATGTTAATGAGGAAAATGCTCCTTGTCCCAGCCTTGATGTGTCTGATTATTTCATGGATAACTGAAATTGGAAATGATTTCATTCTCGGAGAAAACAACAATACTTAGGTTTCTCATCTACTAATGTAACATATGCTATGTTTTAATGTATTTTCTTAGTTCCCTGTATTTTAATGTACTTTTAATCTCTATCATCAATAAAAGTTTGTATGATATTATTCTAAACTAATCTCAAATTTATTTTATGAAGATATGGATCTACCTGAAGTTAGTTCCGAATATCAATGCCTTTTGGACAGGGGAACAACGCACACTATCTTAAAAGATAGAAATTATTTTTCACAACTAAAGTTGTTTCAAGCAAATGTAAACACCATTTCCGGTCAGCAAAATTAATTGAAGGATCTGGAAAGGCTTGTATAATGCTTCCAAATGGAACAAAATTAATAATCAATAATTCTTTATATTTGAGTAAATCTCGAAGAAATCTCATAAGCTTTAAAGATGTACGCCAAAATGGCTATCATCTAGAAACAATGACAACAGATCAAAAAGAGTATGTATGCCTCACGGCAGAAAAACATGGCAAGAAACATATATATGAGAAATTGCCAGCATATTCTTCGGGGTTATATCGTATAAACATACGACCCGGGAAATCAATATGGTATCTAACCAGAAGTTAGATGACAAACATTTGATTTTTTATGGCATGATCGTTTGGGACATCCAGCAACTGGGATGATGCAAAGAATAGTAGCACATTCAGTTGGACATTCAATAAGAAATGTCAAAATTCCCCGATCAGATGAATTAACATGCTCTGCATGTTCACTTGGCAAATTAATAATAAGGCCATCTATGAACAAAATTGCTACTGAATCTCCAAAATTCTTGGAAAGAATTCAGGGAGATATATGTGGGCCAATTAATCCAGCATGTGGACCATTTCGATATTTCATGGTTTTAATTGATGGCTCTACACGATGGTCACATGTTAGTCTACTTTCAAGTAGAAATGTTGCCTTTGCAAAATTACTTGCCCAAATCATCAAATTAAGAGCACAATTCCCAGATCATACAATAAAGAAAATAAGACTTGACAATGCTGGGGAATTTACATCCCAAACATTTAATGATTATTGTATGTCAATTGGAATTGATGTTGAACACCCAGTAGCTCATGTTCATACACAAAATGGTCTAGCTGAATCACTAATTAAGAGATTACAATTGATTGCAAGACCATTATTAATGAGGTCAAGATTGCCATCATCTGCTTGGGGACATGCTATAATACATGCAGCAGCGCTAATTAGATTGAGACCTACAGCTTATCATAAATTCTCATCACTACAACTTGTTTGTGGTCGAGAACCAAGTATCTCACATCTAAAAATCTTTGGTTGTGCTGTATATGTTCCCATTGCTCCACCCCCAACGAACAAAAAAAATGGGTCCACAAAGAAGGCTGGGAATTTATGTCGGGTTTGAATCCCCCTCTATAATTAAATACCTTGAACCATGGACTGGTGACTTATTTACGGCTAGATTTGCGGACTGTCACTTTAATGAAACAGTATTCCCAGCCTTAGGGGAGAGAAAGTGGACCCACATAAGAAAGAAATTGAACTCATTTGGAATGCAACACAACTGTTGATGTTAGACCCACGAACAAATATGTGTGAACAAGAAGTTAAGAAAATTGTTCATTTACAAAGTGTTGCAAATCAATTGCCTGATGCATTTGTAGACACAAAGAAGGTGACAAAATCACATATACCAGCAGAAAATGCCCCTGCACGTATTGAAATCCCAACTGGTAATAAGGCCATAGAAAATGAATCTTAGGCACGCAGAAAGCGTGGAAGACCACTTGGTTCAAAAGATTCTAAGCCAAGAAATTGAAAAGATTGGATGTAATAGAAAATGAGACTAATGATGTTCCCCCGTCAGAAGGTCAAGAAAAACCAAATGTGGATGAAAGTAAAGAAAATGATGATAATCCAAAAGGGACGAACAAGAAGACAACCCTACGGGGAATGAACAAGATGTTCAAAACATCGATAACAATGAAATTTCAATGAATTACGTCTCTACAAAGACTCAGTGGAATAGGAAAGATGTTATCGTTAATGAAACATTTGCAAATTCCATCGTAATCGACATCGTGTCTGATGAAAATGATGTTGAACCAAGAACTGTAGAAGAATGTCGACGTAGGAGTGATTGGCCAAAGTGGAAGGAGGCAATGCTGGCTGAGTTAAAGTCACTTGAAAAACGAGAAGTTTTTGGGAAAATAACCCTTACACCAGCAGGTATAAACCCGTTGGATACAAATGGGTATTTGTGAGAAAACGTAATGAGAAAAATGAAATAGTTAGATACAAGGCAAGACTTGTAGCCCAAGGATTTTCTCAAATTCCAGGGATTGATTATGAAGAAACATATTCTCCAGTGGTTGATGCAACTACATTAAGATTTCTGGTAAGTTTGACAGTCACAAAAGGACTGCAAATGCGATTAATGGATGTAGTGACTGCGTATTTGTATGGGTCACTCGATACGGACATTTACATGAAATTCCCCGAAGGACTAAGACTACCAGAAAACCACAAGCCTAGACAACTGCTTTCCATAAAACTAAAAAGGTCACTTTATGGATTGAAACAATCTGGAAGGATGTAGTACAACCGTCTGAGTGAATACCTTATGAGAGAAGGATTCAAAAACAACCAAGTTAGTCCCTGTGTTTTCATAAAGCGATCACAATCAGGATTCGCTATCATTGCAGTTTATGTTGATGATTTAAATATCATCGGAACCCCAAATGAACTTGAGAAAACTGCAAAATACTTGATGAAAGAATTTGAGATGAAAGACCTTGGGAAAACTAAATTTTGCCTTGGACTACAAATTGAGCACTTGAGTCATGGCATTTTTTTCCATCAATCAAACTATACAGAAAGAGTTTTGAAACGTTTCTTCATGGACAAAGCAACCCCAACCAACTTCCCAATGGTTGTTCGTTCTTTGAATATGAAAAATGATCCATTTAGATCCCGAGAAGAAAATGAAGAGATTTTTGGTCCAGAAGTACCATACTTAAGTGCAATTGGAGCCTTAATGTACTTAGCTAACAATACTAGACCCGACATAGCTTTCTCTGTGAATTTGTTAGCCAGACACAGCAATGCACCAACATATAGGCATTGGAAGGGAGTTCGACACTTACTCCGGTACCTACGAGGGACACAAGACCTTGGTTTATATTACCAACCAAAACAAGATGCTGCTCTCATTGGGTATGCAGACGCTGGATACTTATCAGATCCTCAAAATGCCAAGTCACAAAATGGATATGTGTTCACTTATGGCGGCACTGCAAATATCATGGAAATCAACAAAGCAGACATTGACCGCGACATCATCAAATCATGCAGAGTTGATAGCCCTTCGATCAGGTTTTTATCCCACCGGGTTTTTCCTGACAAGGTTTTTAACGAGGCAGTATACCAAAGCATATAATACTATATCGTTGTACTTTTTCCCTAGCTATGGTATTTACCCCATAAGGGTTTTACCTAGCAAGGTTTTTAATGAGGCAACTTGTACCCCATTCCATGTGAACGTTCAAAGGGGAGTGTTGAGAAACATGATTGAATTGAACTTCACATGTGGTAATTAAAGTCAATGAAGACTTTACTAAGTACAATAATTTGTATAAAGTACAATAATGTATATTATTATATTCAATTATTTTGGCTATATAAATGAAAGTTCACGTATTGTGAACTCAAGTTGAAAAACAAGAAAAGAGTTTTCCTACCATTCTACTACTTACTTCCTATCTTCATCCTTTCACTGATAAATATCTTACCATCAGTAAAATATTTTTAACAATTTCATTATATTCAATTATTTTTCACTACTTTCAGAAATAAAGTATATTATAAAATATTAATATATGACTGAAAAAGTCTTGGCGTATTGACAAAGATTGAGGGCTTGTATATGATATGATAGGTTACAGGTTCGAGTCTCCTTTAATTCTTCCATTTGTAATTTGTAATGTGTTTGTGACTCATTCGCATAAAAAAAAACTACTAATACATAACATATTCTATATTGTATTCATATTTCACAATTTCCGTCTTATATGGCATTACATTCAATCTCCTCCCTGGCCCATTGATGTAATTTTATATCAAAGGTATAATTTGGACACCTTGTTATATTTGCAAGATGTCAACCATAGTTCAAATTACTCTTCAAGGACTTCAACTACTTGTTAGTTACTAGTTTACTACCAACACATATTGTATGTGAGGCTGTAGCGTTTTAGTACAAAGTAGAGCATGCATACAAATCATTTGTTGGTAAGAGAAACTCTATCATTCCTTCAATTCTTTAACTGTTAGTAATTGAATTATTGTAGTATAAGTACAAAAGGGACAAAAAAGTCAACATTAAAGGCTATATATATTATTACGTTGACTTAGATTGAGGGAATGTTTCATCGTTTATTTTAGACTTTGACTTCAACTTCTTATAGTAATATTCATGTCCACTGAATTTACAGTAAATTTTGTAAACATCCCAAAATAATAGTCAAGGAGCTAGCTTAGCTAGCTACTAGCTTGGACAACTTGGACTACTATATAAAGACATGCAATTATATGCATCAATGCATGCATTAATGCATATATTATAATTTTGCAAGCATCACAAAACTCTTAATAGTTCTGATTTCTCCCCTATAGTATGTAATTATCAAATAAAATGAAGGATTTTATAGCAAAGATAGCTAGGAAGAAGGGCGAAAACTCGTCGAGATCATTGTCTCGATATTCAAGGTTATCTTGTGATATTGCTAGGGATGGTGATGCTAGACATGAAATTAGAAGAGGGTATGTGCCGGTTATGGTAGGCTTTAGTGAGGAGCAACAAGAAGGTTTATGGTGCCTTGTGGGTGGATGAACCATCCTTGTATTGTAGAGTTGCTTCAATTATCTGCTAATGAGTTTGGGTATCAACAACAAGGTGTTATTCATATACCTTATGAACCAAGTCATTTTAGAGTTATTATGGAGAATATATCATCTTCGAAAAAGTAAGTGACCATATAATCTATAATGGATCGCAATATGAGTTGGGTAGTTTAATTCGTGTAAAAATCATTAGATATAAATTTAATTAGCGTTTATAAAGGGGATTAGACGACTTTTAGCGCATTTATCGCTTTTACGAGTTTTTTTATAATTGACTCGTTTGACTAGTTGTATAGTTTTTGTGAATTATAATATATAGGAATGACACTTCTAGTGTTAGTTGTTCCTTCGTCATTAATTATCTTTTATCTTCTTTTTATTTCGTCAAATCATTCAGTTTATAGATCATCATTGATGTAAAAATGTTGATCAACAGATGATTGATCAATCAAGATGCATGATCGTTATAAAATATGTGCGCCTTTTTTTTTTTTTTTTTTTTTTTTAAGGCATGTGCACCTTTATTGTATATATGCTTTATTGTGCAAAAAATGTGGTCGAACCTTGAGCTCAACATCACAATTCACAACTTTGCATCCTCACCATTGTCCCATGCCACGACTTTTATTGTTTCAGGTTGTGTCACTAGCCGGCCCTATTCATTGTCAATATTTAACTTGTACGTGGACAAACTCTTCTCCAACATTCTTAAGTAGGATTTGTTCAACTCCAAGAAGATTTATTATTCCACGTGTCCTTGAAACATATCACGTGCAGCTACTTGGTTAATATCTGCATGGCCCAAGATTGCAAATTGCTTTGGGCCATACCCGCTACTTGGGCTAACTCCATGGCCCAATGGCAGCAGACTCAAATGCAAAATGGAGACACTGACATACCGACATACATACATCAACATAATGCGCTTTTACAATTAAAAAAATTAATCATCAATTTTTATTTATTTATTTATTTTTTTTACCTTTGTGGTTTAAAATGTTAACGTTTCAACCAGTGAATTCTTTTAATATTGTTAGAAATAGGAAGACTTTTCAATGACTACATAAAAATTTAGCCATTATAATTACTTTCAATCTCAATCGTTTAAATATCAATGATTAATATTGTCCATTTATATATTTGAGTTCTTAATTATAAAGAATTTTTTAAACTACTTTATTTTTACCCCAAAAAAAAAAAAAAAAACTGCTTGTTGCCGCCGTTGATGTAATTCCAACATCCAAGGTTTCAACCTTCAACCTAAATCTCCATTAAATAGGTATGGAGGAACAATATAATTAACATGGATAACATTAAAGTATAACCAAACAATCAATGGGAAACTGCCAAACAAACTTGAAAAAAGGGATACGATTTTATACATATACGAACTATATGGGTAATTGTAGAGCTGGACATCGTGTCGTGTCGGGTCGTCACGAGTCGTGCCGGGCCTAGGTGATGGCGGACTATGCCACCAAATGGCACACCCCAATCCACGGCCCGGCCCACGTACCTAGCGGGCCGGGTCGCGTGCCAGCCTTTTATTTTTATTATTAATTAATTAATTTTAATATTTTTATTATTTTTATTTTTATTATTTATAGTTCTTTATATTATTATGGTTCTTTTTATTATTTTTTTAGTTTTATAATATTTATTTTTATTATTTATAGTTTTTTTTTTAATTATTTTCATTATTATGAGTCGTGCTGGCGGGTCAAAAGTTCGTGCCGCGCGCGCGCTTGTGCCTATTTTTTTTTCTCACGGCCCGGCCCATCCCTCGTTCCTCGTACCGTGTCGTGCCGCTAGCAGGCTCATGTCGTGTTGGGCCGCTAATGTGTCGTGCCCATGCCACCCGCGGGCTGCCCCGGCCCATGCCCAACTCTAGGTAATTGGATAGGATAATTACACAATTCGTAATTATTTAATTATTGCTCTCCATAACTCTCCCCGATCATTCTTGCACTTATTGGTAGATTTCATGTTTTGTTACTCATATACATACTTTGCAAAAAATCATCAATGGAGTAGTTTATTGTGTAGAGGATTATGAAAAAACAGTTAAAGAATATTTTTGGGTATTTTTATGGTCAATTTAAATCAATGATCCTAATTAATATAATGATAATCAAGGGTGCAAATTTTGTTTTTGCAGTGACTACAATAATTGCAAAATTGTCTCTTAGAAATATATGAAGTACATTGTATTCTTTTATGTAAGCACTTTTTGAAAAACTTTTTACTCAATATTGATTTTTATTTAATACATGTGCGTTCATAATATTTTTTCTTAAAATCATTACTTTTACGAAATAAAATAAGTGTAAAAATTTTGCCCTCACAAATCCCATAAAAATGCAAATGAAAAGATACATGGGTCGAAGTATATAGCTAGATTACGTTTACAGTAAAAATTAATGAAATGCTAAATAGCGCCATAAAAAAATTATCAAATCGTCAAACATTTCATGTAAAGAAACATTTCTTGTCCTTACTAAAAAACATTCCCATTTTTCTTTCTTTAACAGTAGTCCATCCACCACAACCAAGCTAAGTCAACCATCACCAATCACGACACCAGTACAACCCACGCTACTAAGTCGACCACACAACCCACAACAACCGTGTCAACCACCACCATCTACACACGGATTGCCACCACGACCGCGAAAGTCCACGAGAAATAATGGATCGTGATCAAGGTGGCTCATCGAAGAATGAACCGGAAACACCATAGTCGGCTTTTCAGCAGGTACGGCTTTTTTCTAGGGTTTATAGGGGTTTGATTGGCCGGAGAAAAACCGGGAGTCACAAAGTGATTAACCGTCATAGTAACCAGTTTTGGGCTCCGGTTACCGTGGTCAACCGGAGCTAAAACCAGTTACTGTCCACGGTAATCGTTTTGACCTAGGGTTATCGTGACCGAACGCCTGCTTATGTGCCGCCGCTGGCTTTCGCCGCTACCAACTGCAGCCGGTAGCCTCTACTATTTGGTTGTGGTGGTTGGGGAGAAAAAAATGGGTTAGGGTTTAAAAAGGGCAATAATGACCCTTTTCTTGAAATGATGCGGTTTTGATAAATTTAAATGGCAATGATATTTAACACTCCCAAATAAGACCATTAGTCAAAGTTCAATAATTATGCAAAAAGGTGATTATTAATAAATGAATGAAGTCGTTGAAGTTCATGTAATATGAAAAGTAGATCAAGCATCACATACGGAGCATAACAATTATAACATCTTTAACGTCTAACTCATAGTATAAGTGTATAACGTTTTTACTTGTTTAAAAGTCGGCTAACTGTTAGAAAATTAGCATCAAGCTAAGCGTGGACATGTCCACTAAAATCGATTTTCCAGTACTTAATCCACTAGGGCCAGTGGATAGCAAGTAATCTCACTTCCATAATCACTTTCTCCATTTAAGATTAATTTAGCACGTGGTTATTAGAAGGAGTTAATCATCATTAGAACATGATAACTTTATAACTTAATGTTTAGAAAAGTAAAAAAGTGCACAAGTCGACATTGATTGGGATGATTAGAGCAGTCGAAGACTAGAAGCCTGCTATATTTGACTTCATGAAGTAAGATCCAGTTACTTTCTATAAATATATACTTGTAAAAAGTCAATAGACCAATAATCTTACTCAGAAATTTACATACAAGTATTTATTTAATAAGTGAAATACAATTGGCTAACAATTTTTCCAAATAAGTGGCAAGAATTTTAATATACATCGCTATCTACGTCTAAACAAGACTCAAAATCTCAAATAACGAGGAAAGGTAGGTTGTAATTTGGTGCTATGTCGATAGAGAGACTTTTGCGTGACACCGGGACTCACCGCGAGTCTAATATATCTGACAATAGTATTCTAATATCTGACAATAATATTCTAATATCTGACATTAATAATCTAATGTCATATATTAGATTATTAATGTCAAATATTAGATTATTAATGTTAGATATTAGAATATTAATGTCATATATTAGCATATTATTGTCAGATATTAGATTATTATTTATTGTCAGATATATTGGACTCACCGTGAGTCCGACTCACCCAATTTTAATCGATGTCAATAAGATATTGATATACGAAATTACGAAGTTCTCGAAGTTAATAGGATAGTTGGATCAAACAATAATATACTTCCTTTGTTCCATAAATAATGCACCATTTGAATGGTTGACATTATTCAATTTACTCAAACCATTTTTAATTACATATTTACATATTATTATATTCATTTAGTATAGTTTTTATAAATATTACAAAAATTATAATTGAAATTTCACATATAATTAAAGATTTGGAATTTAAATTGTGCATTAGGATGCGTAAAGTAGTATGAATGATAATACTTCAATTGTTTATTTTTGTTGTTCCCGTTTCATATTCTATACAATGTCTAATGTTCGCATGCATATAAGCTTATTAAAGATGAATTGTTTTTTTGTATTGTTTTTTTAACATATGGTTTTTACACTATTTATATATTAATTTTAACCAGAATTTATTGTTTATATAAAAATAATGAATGTTATAGTATATACGTAGTATGTAGTAGGCCGGCGTGTGATTAGTGTCAATGTTTGTCTTAAAAAAAAATTCTTCATATTATAATTTTTTAAAATAACGAAATAAATCCATGATCAAAGCTTTGCATGAAATAGCATATAAGTGTAAGAAAATTGTACTAAAAAAAATAAAACGGATGAAGTATTGCTCTTATAATATAAATGGTTCATCTTTAAATTTGAGTGTATAGTATAGATGAAATGTTCTATACGGGCAAATATTAGAGAAACATAGGAAGTATAAAATTTTCATCAAAAACATACTTCCTCCGTTTTTAAATACTTGCAAGTCATTTATAAAAACTTGTAACACTTTTCTAAAATGGAAATGTCACAACACTTGGAAGTTGGAACACACTATAACTGGAAAGTTAATTATTTTTGAGGAAAAGTTGTACAGTTTCCCTTATTTAAAGTACAAGCACGACCCACTAAATTATACTTCTAACAATCTCTCACCCCATTTTAAAGTATATTAAATCATGTAAACCCCAATTTCTTAAATACCGTAAAAAGGTGTGTGTTGCAACTATTAAAAAAATGGAGGAAGTATATTATAAAGTACCAAGAAATATGAGAAGTTATCATAATAGAATGTGTTACTATTAGCTAACTAATTACAATAAAGGGTTTTTCCCCTTTTGATCCGTTGGATGCTTGATGTCGAAATTAGTGAATACTTTTATATATTTTGTTCATCTTTGACTAGATTTCTTCAAACTTGTAAGCTATGCATTTCAACAAAGCAGTAATACTAATACATCTAACTTAATCTCTATTTGTATATACAAGAAAACGACATATATATCCAAGTGGCAATTTTTAAATCGACTCCTCTATATATATATATACAACAAACATGCACTCATTTTTTCAAACAACTAACACAAAAACAAAAACACATTCATTCCTTTTCTTCTTCGATCACTATCAAGTATCAACTACTATCACCAACTATGAAGAACTTGATAAGAAGGATAAGTAGGAAGAAGGAGCAATCTTCATCTATGTCGCCACCTCGATACTCAAGATTAAGTTGTGAGGAAGTGATGAATAATAATCATCCTAGACGTGAAACTCGAAAAGGGCGTGTGCCTATTATGGTAGGCAAGTGTGAGGAAGAAGAAGAGAGATTTATGTTACCTCTTGGTTGGATGAATCATCCTATTATTGTTGATTTGCTTCAATTATCTGCCAATGAATTTGGTTATCATCAAGAAGGTGTTATTCATATACCTTGTGAAACATGTCATTTTAGACTTCTTTTGGAAAATATTTCTTCCAATTAATAAGGGAGTAATATATTTATGATTAGCTTAATCATTAGATCGACTATGGTACATATATTTTTATGGTAATTAGGTTTTTTTTTCCTCCTAATCAAGATAATTTTTGTAATATTTCTATTTAAAATTGAAGCACAGGCGCACAATGATTGGAGATCATCCTTGTTCCTTTCTTTGTATATTGGAGTAGTGCAATATATAAAGTCTCTACCAAATATGTAGAATTGAACTACAATGATGAATTTTTCATCTTCTCTTATATTATTGGTTCACCTTATTTCATGCTTTGTTCACCTTATTTCAGCATATTTACTTAATATAATAAGTCCGAATAAATTCACAGCAGAGTATATGACAAGTATATATATACGGTGCATTTAAGTTCAAATTTGTTTTTCACATGAGTAATGAGCTAGCTAGTAAGACAAATTGAATTTACAACTGAATAAATTACGGATCATATCGGAGTATAATATGTACAGTTTTGCTAAGTTTAGACATTTTAAGTACATTCAGATAAGTTTAATTAAATTCAAATAATTAAGTTAAATTAAGTGAAAATCAAGTAAATAGACCATATACTTAGTTTTACATTAGAGGAAAAAATACCACTTAATTATCAGTGTATTATAACTAATTAGTTATAATATTACGATCGAGTTAAACTGAACAAGAAACTTGAACAACTCAATAATTATGACATGCAAATAAAATACTTTGAGTTTTTCAATTCTAATGAGATAACACAAATTCTTGATTAAGGCTGACTTTCAATAAGTTATTGTAAGACGGGTAAAGTTACCCTTAAAATCTTATATATTACAAAAGTTACCATTTTCCTAATATACATTCTACCCGTAAAAAATACTTATAAATTTATATAACGCATTAGATTAATCATATTAGCCTTCATGACATGCATGTATTCATTAAAAATTACACATTATTAAAATACAATCAAATTCATTATAATTAAAAGTCAACCTTAAAGGGATTAAAGTTACCATAGAAACTGTGAAAGTTACCCTTAAATTAATCGTCTTACAATAAAATTAAAGTAAGTTTGCTTTATACAAGACTTATTGATATGATATATCCTAAAATTCAAATAAGATAGTTATGTATTTACTCCTAGAGAAAAATGTTGATTTGTAAGAGAATCGAACTTTCCTTCTTATTGGGTTTTCTAATTTAATTAAGACACATATTTTACTCTAGCTGCTAATGTGATAGATATGGGTTGGACTTCATCGATCATTAGAAGAGAGAGTGTAGTTCATAAAACGACCAAATTAAAAAAAGTTCCATCCCTAACAATATGATATTTGGGGCTTCCTAGCACTCGTACTAATTCAGTCAAATATTCCCTTACTAAACGCTGTTTTTATTATCTTCTCCGTATTAGGGAAACACCAAACATTCAGTCAAATATAAGTAGATGTTTTCGACCCATATAAAAAATAATTCCCGTGGTTATGTGAAAAACTAAAACTTTGTGAGTGAAATTTGTTAAACTTACGCACACGTATTTTCCTAGTATCACCTAATATTTTTATAATCTATAATATGGCACATGCACTAAATTAAAATTTAGATTTAGGTGCGTGGATGACCTGATAAGCTGATATGTTTGATATAAGAATATACTTCCCTTACTTCGTTTAACATTTATAACTTGGGATTCAAGATTGGTGGTATGTTGACTGGGCTATGCCGGCTATCAATGCTCCATGACATAGGTTTTAACTTCTAAGCTAATTCCATTAGATTAGTTGAGTAATGTTTTGAGATGATTTCGTGATATTCAAAAGCTGAGATCAAATCTTATTGACATTACTTATCCACTTGACTTTTCATACCCCAAAAAAATTTATACCAAGTATTCAAGATTGTGTAAAAGCAAATTAAACCTTCCTTTATCCCTATTTATTGTGACCACGTATAATTAGTCTGAAAGTAGAATTGTGATATGCTACAACTAACCAAAAATCATATAGAGAAAAATATAATTAATAGACTATAAAGAAAAGTAGCACAAACGTTAAAAGACGAAGAAGTAATTCCTAAAAAAAAAAAAAAAAAAGAAAGAAAGGACGAAGAAGTAACAAACAAAACACTTCGCCCCACGAATGAAGGCTATAGCCTCTCAGGCCCACAATAGATGCCCTTATGTAATTACGTTGCAATTGTGAATTTTCCCATATTGGCAATAAAATCTAAAGCAGCTGAAAAAAGTTCAAATTAGATGACTACATAAGACTAAATAACGATGGTGAGCTAAGAATGATTTTTATTCAAATAACGATGGTGAGAATGATTTTTAATTGACTGTTTATTTGTTCTTGGTATTTGACTCGGACCACTTCATCTTTCAAACTTGTGAGCTATGCGATTCCACAAAATATTATTTTATATGCGCGACGACAATATTATATTATTATACACAAAGTATTTAATTTATTTATATATAAGCCTAAGGTTGAGATCAAACTCGAGAATTGTAACATAAATTTATAAACTAAGCTATATATAAAACACATGCATGCATATTTTTTTTTCTATCCTTCATTCAACAAATATAAACTAAGGACGACTAATAGATCATCGTCATTCCTACCAATACTACTACAATACGATCATATTAATGTCGAGGACTCGATATTCAAGGGTATGTTGTGAAGAAGTTGATCATAGAAAACATGAAGTTAGAAAAGGGTACGTGCCGGTTATGGTAGGGAAGTGTGTGGAGGAAGAAGACAGGTTTATGGTGCCTCTTGGTGGATGAACCATCCTTGTATTGTTTCTTTGCTTCAATTATCGGCTAATGAGTTCGGGTATCATCAACAAGGTGTCATTCAAATTCCTTGTGAGCCAAGTTACTTTATACTTGTTTTGGAGAATATTTCTTCCAATTCAAAGGGATTTTAAGATTCATTATTTGGTTAGTTTAATTTAGTTAAATTAGTTATTTGGTCTCGTTAATTTTGGTGTTATTCACATGCATTAGATCAGACAATTTATTTAGTTACTAGCTAATTTGTAAAGTTGAGATAATTAGTAATAGGTGTTTTGTATAAGAGATAGGGTTATCGATCATTGAAAGCCATCTTTGTAAATTGTATGTTGTATCATCATACATATACTCTTATACCTAGTCATATGTGTGTAGTTTATATGGAAACATATTTATTTATTATTTTTGTTAGTACTTCATTTTTCTCTTTTAATAATATCGAGCATAATTTCTTTTACTTTGTAACATATATACGGTGAGCCTTTTTCTCTTTTACTAATATAATAATTAGCTCTTTTTACTCTCTTCGTTTCGAAATAAGTGACGCACGCAATTTCCAAGATATAATAGATTATTAGATTTATTGCTAGCTTATTAAGCAACCCTGGCTTAAGTTGTTCTGTCTTTTATTTAAAGATGTACGTTCCATTGTAATTTTTTATGTCAAACTTTAAAAACTTTAGCACTAATTCTTAAGAAATTAAATAATAGTCATATGAGATATTGTCAGATTCATTTTAATAATGTCTACTAGTATGATATCAAAGTTTTACAATTTTTACGAGTATATTAATTAAAAGTATTTATTATGTATTAAACGGGTCATCTAAAAGATAATAGATGAAGAAAAATGATGTATCTTTGAACGACAAAGGGAGTAGTAGTGAGTTGCCACACATTTGTCGGACATGTAGCAAATTTTAATTCTAGGTTTAAATTCATCAAAATCTTTGACTCGGACTTCAAAAATTTGAAACCAAGGTGTACATTACATAATACTTCGTATTACAATTAAATATGGACAAGATAAAGACAACAAAGGGACTATTTTGACGGCTATATATGACAAGAAAAAAGACGCTAAATTTAATTGAATTAACAAATATGAAATATGGAAACTACATACTCAATAGGCCAAAACCCATTTCATTCTTTCTCTCCTCCATAATTATCAACCAAAACCGGTTTGATAGAATTTGATACTATTATAACACCATTATATACTTGTATATATTACTGTTGATGATAATGATCACACTGATGATCAAGCCTCTGCCACGTAGGAGGCATTCTGTTACAAGCATGCTGACATGGAAAGATTACTCGGATCTAGAAGAAGTTTGTCAGAGCAAATTAGTTTGTTACAGCAAGTTGCAAGTTGTAATAGTTGTATACATACACTTCTCTTGTAATGATTTCATTTTCAATCTAATGAAAATCAAACGCTCTATTTTCTCTTTCTTCTTCCTCATTTTACTGTAATTTCAGCAGACTTCAATAATTACCCACAAGGCCGCAATTATGAAGAATTTGATAGTAATTAAGGATCACATATTCATATGTAGGAAGAAAGAACAATCTTTATGGAAATCGACACCTCGATACTCGTGATTTTATGATAATCATCGAAGACATGAAGCTCGAAGAGTGGTGCCTCTAGCATGGATGAACCATCTATCCTTGTATTGTTAATTTGCTTCAATTAGATGCTAATGAATTTCTTGTACCCCGTAATTAGATAATCAATTTTTTTTTTATATTCCTTTTTTTGTTTGAAAAAGGTTAACATCAATTTATAATATTTACTTTTTTTAAATAATATTTTAATCTATAATTTACAAAACTATATGTATTATATGTAGTTTAATGTATTCATCAGTTAATTTAAAACGAGTCTAACAAGATTTCACATGATTGAGTGATCGATCGACTATATTATTTCACATATAAAAAAGACCTTATCGTTAAAATATTCAATTATGACGAAAAGAAAATCCTATAACGACGTTGGGAAGGAAAGACAAAGACCAAACTACCAAAGACAACTTACTTACTTCACTAAACTGCTATTAAAAGAGGGCCCCAAGCACTACTCCGGTATGAAAGGAAAAGGGAAAGATCAGAATTCGATATAAATAATTTGATGATTAGCAATCGAAGCAGGTTATTTATGACTAATTTAGGAGGAGATGTTGTTCATGTAAACACTTTCTAATAATAATAATAATAATAATAATAAATCTTGTTTCATGGAAAATTATTAAGAGGATACGATTTGGCCTACCAAATCTAAGTGGTCCAGTCGTGTTAAACTACAATATAATGTGGATTCCAAGCTCTCCAAAGGAGGAAAGAAAAGTTGGTTTCAAGATTAATTATTTATTTTTGTGTGTAAATAGAGGGCAATTATTGTCAATAAATCAATTAAGCAGACACATTAAGATTTTATGTACACTTTGAATTCTTGAACCTTGACTAGTCCTTGAGAGAGATTATTATACACACCTGGGTGCACCGTACACCTATGAGTATTTTGTTCTCATTTTGATGATTGTTTCTCATTTAATCATCAAATAGAGAGTAAATATTAACTTTAGGTTAGTTGGGTGTACGATACACCCGGGTGTATATAAGTATATAACCAAATTCTAAGTCCTTGAAACTTTGACGACTAATTTACTTCATATTCACCATTATTATTTACAGATTAACGAGTGTTAATAATTTGACTTTTTTTCAACAAATAAAAAAAAAATGTCGATCCATCTAGTGCATTTTGTGGGTTGGGATTATAGTACAACAGAATAAAACTCGAAATTATTCTCAAAAAATTGTTCTAATTTAGAACCCATGGCTCAAATTTATTTGTTCAGTAGAAATATACTCCGTACCTTTTGATTGTTTATTTATGCCATTAGTAGTATAACGAATTCAAGTTAGAAGTTTCTATTTTTATCAGCTGGGATACGAGTCATACGACCCTTGTCTTTTGATTGGCTTCGGTAGAATTTTGTTGACTGTATTTCAATGCTCTATCTTTGACTTTTCAAACTAACTTCTAACCCACACGTGTCCACTAATTCAAGAAAACGAGAACCGACTATCCAATAAAGAGCTATCTAATTTAAAACCGCTATATATATACATGCACATACTTGCATTATTATTCAAGCAACCTAAAAAACACATTGCATAACAAAAAACTTTCTCTCCTTCAATACTATTGTTAATTCACAACAATACTAATAATGAAGGATTTGATCGGAAAGATAGTAAGGAAGAAGGAGCAATCTTCATCGTGTTCGCCCCCTCAATACTCAAGATTATCATCATGTTGTGAGGATGAAGTGAAGAACAAACATCAAAGAAAACATGATCAAGTGGCTAAAAAAAGAGGGTACGTGCCTATTATGGTAGGGAAAAGTGAGGAAGAAGAAGAGAGATTTATGGTGCCTCTTGGTTGGATGAACCATCCTTGTATTGTTGAATTGTTACGTGTATCCGCCAACGAGTTTGGGTATCATCAACAAGGTGTTTCACAAATTCCTTGTGAACCACATCATTTTAGAGTTGTCATGGAGAGTATTTCTTGTAAATAGAATTTACAGAATCTTTAATGTAAACTCTGTAATTTTTACTATTTTTTTCGAAATTAATTTTAGATGTAGTATCATTTATTTGTTGATCGATTTAGGTACTTTGTGTATATAAAGTATTGATATGTGTATAAGAAAAATTATCAGTTTTAGAATTGAATTTTAATTAGTACTATAAGATACAGTGAGCATTGGTGATCATTTTTTTTTTTTTAATTATTAGTAAATTTTTTCTTGATTTTCTTTGATTTTTATTTTATATATTGTAGCTAAAATAATTATTCATTGAATTTTACTTTTTCTTTATTGAAGAATTTGAATTACAGATAATGGAAAAAGTCCCTCCGTTTGCAAATTAATTAACTAATTAAGAATGATTAGCTTATTTTGACGAGCATTATTATTGGTTAGCTTCTTTATTTGCAAGTGGATTATCTCTATTATTAATTAGGGCAAGCTAATCCAAAGCATGACTATTCGTAATTGCGTAGGCCAAAGGCAACTTTAATTAATTATACACTAGCCCCAAAATTCGAACTCCAAATTTGTGACAATATTGAAAATGTATTACCCAAAAAAGGATTCGGAGGGAAAAGAATTTAGATTATACATATACATACAAGCTCAAAGGACCAAGTTATTATATCGAACACCAATAGGCAATAATTAATTAGGAGGGATAACTCTTTGAGCTCATATTGAGTTATTTCATTCACATTCGTCAATATGGGAATACATCTCTAGTCAAATGTGGGTTGATCATGGGAGCTAATCAACATTATCGATATTATTATTGTAGGAGCATATAAAAAGAATTAGTCGCAGTATGACTTGATTATGCAACGTAAAATCTGTATACGATTTAGGGGATATACAACGAAAATATTGATCGATAAATCGATTGTTGCTTTGAAATAATATTGATCGAATTGAATCAACTGGTCGTGGTCAAAGAAATTAAACTTGTCGTGACAGTGTGTGACATTACACAAATCTGTATGATCAGTTTGTAATATATAGTTACTTCCAATTAGACATTATTGGTATTTTTCCCATAAAATAAAAAAAAAATATATGTATATAAAAAGCAATACCAAAATGAAATTTTGTTATGAAATTTCAAATAAAACTAATGAAAATTTAAATAAATAATTAATTATATTGACAATAAATCAATTAAGTAGACACATTAAGAATTTATGTACACCTTGAGTTCTTGAATCTTGACTAGTCCCTGAAACTTTGCCAATTAATCTACTTGATATTCACCATTATTTACAGATTACAAGCTTAATTATAAATTAGTAGCATTGGATAATGTTTACATTGTTAACAATATTATCATTAAAATTGCATCAAAAACAAGGAACAAAAACAATATTACTAAAAAAAACGAGACAATTTCTTTATACAAGTATATATTTATAGTATGAGACTCACTGGAGGGGGAAACAAGAGAAAATTTTCAAATGGGCAAAATCCCTAAAATACTTTGTTCAACCTCATTTAAGATAGAATTAATTTTAACATCTTGGAATTGAGAATATTTAAGAATAACTAGTGTCAACAATTTGGCTAGTTTTTTTTTTTTTTTTTTTTTTTTATTTATTTTTTTTTTTTTTTTTTAAATACTGTCGAGATCGACCTCTAGTGCATTTTTGGTATGGGATTATATACCGCAGAAATAAAACTCGGAATAATTTCTCAAAAAATGCTCAAATTTTGAACCCATGGCTCAAATTTTTATTTGCTCAATAGAAATATACCTTTTGCTTGTTTGTTTATGCTACTACACCATTATTAGTAGTATAACGAATTCAAATTAGAAGTTACTATTTTTAGCAACCGGGATACCCTTAGCTTTTGATTGGCTTCAGTAGAATTTTGTTGACTGTGTTTCAATGCTCTATCTTTGACTCAAATATCTTTTCAAACTTGTAACGAACTAACCCACACGTGTCCACTAATACAAGAAAACGACAACCGACTATCCAGTAAGGAGCTACATATCTAAAACCTATATATATATATATATATATAGAGAGAGAGAGAGAGAGAGAGAGGAAGGCTCATGTAAGAACCCTCCTCTATATAAGAACCCAATCTTATATAAGAACCAATCTCAGCCCTTTATTAGTTTTGATCTAACCACCTAAAATGATCCTTTAGTAATGGCATTTCTGTAATTTTGAAAAATTTACATTTAAAACATAGAAAAAAATTTAGAATATGGGAAAATTTTTAGAACATAAGCAGAAAAAATTTAGAACATACAAAAAAAATTTAGAACATAAGCAAAAAAAATTTAGAACATAAAAAAAATAATTTAGAACATAAGTTGAAAAAATAATTTGATTTATTTTCATGTTTTACTATTAAGTTATTATTGTTTACTTTCGATTTTTTTATTTTTTTTTTTTTTTTTTTTTATAGAGATAACCTATGTAGGAATCGAACCTACATCCTCTATGCATTTGCATAATGCTCTACCAATTGAGCTAATAGGTTTTAGGCCTTTTAGCATATGTTCTTCTTTTTTTCATTTACCGTAAATGTTCATAAGTTTTTTGCTAATACTTTAGTTTTTCAAAAGTTTTTTTGCTAATACTTTAATTTTTTTTTTTTCTGCCAATGCCTTTTTATATGTTCTAAATTATTTTCCTATCATCTAAACTTTTTTTATCCATTACTTAAAATTTTTCTGTCTATGCTTTGAATTTTCCATATATTTCTGAAAATTTTCACCATATGTTCTAAACTTTTTCTATCTATAATCTTAGAACTTCTCACCCTATTTTCTAAACTTTTATCCTATATACTAAATTTTTTCACCCTATGTTCAAAACTTTTTCCTATTCTAAACTTTTTCTGATGTACTAAATTTTTTCGCCCTATGCTCTAAACTTTTTTTCCTATGTTCTAAATTTTTTCACCCTATGTTCTAAATATTTTCACCCTATGTTCTAAACTTTTTGACTATGTTCTAAACTTTTTTTTTCATATTCGACATTTTTTATCTATGTTCTATATTTTTACCTATGTTCTAAAAGTTTTCATCTATGTT